GAACAACATGGGGGCAACTGCCCCCATGGTCCAATCACTTCCCTCCTTTGACACGTGGGGATTACAGTTCCCTCCCTTGACATGTGGGGATTACAATTTGAGATTGGATTTGAGTGTGGACAAAGAGCCAAATCTATAATTCTGCCCCTGGCCCCTCCCAAATATCATGCCCTTTTCACATTTCAAAACCAGTCATGCCTTCCCAACAGTCCTCCAGAGTCTTAACTCATTCTAGCACTAACCCAAAAGTCCAAGTCCAAAGTTTCATCTGAGATAAGTCCCTTCTGCCTATGAACCTGTAATATCAGAAGCAAGTTACTTACTTCCAAGTTAAAATGAGGGTATAGACATTGGGTAAATATTCCCATTCTAAATGGAAGAAATTGGCCAATCAAAGGGGCTATGGGACCCATGAAAGCCCAAAATCCAGTGGAGCAGTCATTAAATCTTAAAGCTCCAAAATGGTCTATTTGACTCCATATGTCACATCTGGGGCAGGCCAATGCAAGGAGTGGGCTCCCAAAGCCTTAGAAAGATCCTTCACAGGCTGGCATTGAGTGCCTGCAGCTTTTCCAGGTTCATGGTGCAAGCTGTTAGTGGATCTACAATTCTGAGGTCTGAAGGATGGTGGATCTCTTCTCACAGCTCTGCTAGGCAGTGCCCCAGTGGGGACTCTGTGTGGGGGCTCCAGCTCCACATTTCCCTTCCACACTACATTAGCAGAGGTTCTCCATGAGGGTTCCGCCCCTGCTGCAGCCTGCTGCAGGCTTCTGCCTGGACATCTAGGTGTTTCCATACATCCTCTGAAATCGAGGCAGAGATTCTCAAAGTTCTTTTGTCTTCTGCATACTCGCAGGCCAAACACCACCAGAAGCCACCAAGGCTTAGGGCTTTCATCCTCTGAAGCAATGGCCTGAGCTGTGCCTTGGCCCCTTTTAGCCATGGCTGAAACTGGAGTGGTTGGGATCCACAACACCAAGTCCCAGGGCTTCTCTTGCAGGGAGCAGTGGAGCAGCAGGCCCACAAAAACCACTTTTTCCTCTTAGGCCTCTGGATCTGTGATGGGAGGGGCTACCACAAAGATCTCTGATATGCCCTGGAGACATTTTTCCCATTGGCATGGCTAATAACATTTGACTCTTCATTAGTTGTGCAAATGCGTGCAGCCAACTTGAATTTCTCCCCAGAAAATGGGGTTTTCTAATTTCAAACCACCTCTTAGTGAGCATACATAACTAATTGCTTTCAGAATCAACCAAGTGACCTCTTGAATGCTTTGCTGGTGAGAAATTTCTTCTGTCAGATACCCTAAATCATCTCTCTCAGGTTCAAAGTTCCACAGATCTCTAGGGCATGGGCTAAATGCCACCAGTCTCTTTGTTATCGTATAGCAAGACTGACCTTTACTCCAGTTTCCAGTAAGTTCCTCATCTCCATCTTAGACCACCTCAACCTGGACTTCATTGTTCATATCAATATCAGCATTTTGGTCAAAACCATTCCAAAAGTCTCTAGGAGGTCCCAAACTTTCCCACATCTCCCTGTTTTCTCTTCTTTTGATCCCTCCAAACTGTTCCAGCCACGGTTTGTTGTCCAGTTCCAAAGTCGCTTCCATATTTTCAAGTATCTTTATACCAGTGCCCCACTCCTGGTATCTGTATTAGTCCATTTTCACAGTGCTATAAATACATGAGATTGGATAATTTATGAAGGAAAGAGGTTTCATTGACTCACATTTCCAGATCACTTCAGTCTAGAAGTTCAATAGTAAAATCCCATCTCTACAAACAAAATTTAAAAATTGGCTAGGTATGGTAGTGCATGCCTATGGTCCCAGCTACTAGGGAAGTTCAGGCCAGAGGATCACTTGAGCCCAGGAGGTCGAGGCTGCAAGTTGAGGCTGAGCAGTGACTGTGCCAATGCCCTGCAACCTGGGTGACAGAGTGAGACCCTGTCTCAAAAAAAAAAAAAACAAATGATTCAAAAGAGAATTTTCATGGCATTACATCTTTGTGGACCCATTTCTTATCCATAAAATCATACACGCTATTCCTTCCCCCAAAACCCACCCTCCAAACCCCACCCAGCATTCTTGGGAATGTTCAAGTACAAGATAGGTGATTTCACCATGAAATTATGAAGTAGAAATATGACTTTTAGCCATTTGATGAGATTAGGTTTTAGCCATTATGGAAATGTGTTGCAAAGTGAAATTAGACTCAATAGGTTACATTTTATTTCTGTATTTTAATCATACTTCTAATTCATAATTTCATGGTGAAATCACCCATCTTGTATTTAAACATTCTGAAGAATGCTGGGTGAGAGTTGGAGGGTGTGTGTTGGAGAAGAATTGTGTGTATGATGTTATGGGTAAGAATGGGTTAAAAAGGATGCAATGGCAGAAAAAGCATTTCTTGAGAAACTTATGAAAGAATGCTGTTACATACAAAATTAAGCATACAACGGAGTGGTACAGCCAGTTTTGTGACATATGTAGGAGTTTTACTCACCCATCAAGCCTCAGTTTAGAAATCCCTTCCTCTGGGAAGCCTGTCCTGATCAATAAGGTTAGATTAGATGCCTCTCCTATGCAGTTTCACAGCACTCTGTTCAACTCTGTCACAGCACTCTTACATCGAACTGCCTGCTCACAGTTCTGTCTCATATAACAAAACAACAACCATTCACTAAACATTTCACTGAATGTATTAGTCCATTTTCATGCTGCTGATAAAGACATACCTGAGATTGGAAGAAAAAAAAGTTTAATTGGACTTACAGTTCCACATGGCTGGGAAGGCCTCAGAATCATGGCGGGAGGTGAAAGCATTTCTTACATGGCAGAGGTAAGAGAAAAAATGAGGAAGATGCAAAAGTGGAAACCCCTGATAAAACCATCAAATCTCATGAGACTTATTCACTACCACAAGAACAGTATGGGGAAACTGCCCCCAAGATTCAAATTATTTCCCACCAGGTCCCTCCCACAACACATGGGAATAATGGGAATACAATTCAAGATGAGATATGGGTGGGGACATAGAGCCAAACCATATCACTAAATAAAGTACCCTGCTTAAAGCTTTAAGTAATTATCTTCTTTAATAATAACAACAAACTAGTAAGGTAGGTATTATTGTACCATTTTGAAAATGAGAAAATAGATGTATAAGGAGGTGAAGCAGCTATCCAAGGTCAAAGAGCTTAGCACATTGGATAGAACGAAATCAAATCTAGGCAGTGTGACTACAAAGCAGGGAAAATATATTTTTGTCCCATACTAGCAGAAAGCTGGGCACTTAACATCTAAATATTTGTTGAATGACTCATTTAATTATTTCAGAGAAGAGGGAGAGAGATGAAAACTAGTGCTATACAGGAAAACTTGCTAGGGAGAGGGTGGAATTTGAGCTGGGCCTTGAAAAATGGGGGAGATTTCGATGAATTTAGAGGAATATAAAGAGCACTTGGTGTGGAGAACTTGAGTCAAGCAATGAGAACAGGCTACGTTGTGTGCCCTGGGGTCAATAAGGAATCTGTCTTAATTATAAAAAAAGAAGCAAGTTAGTGGGCATGGAGACTGGGTAGGCAGGTTGAAGTTAGATTGCGGAAGCCCTCAGAATCCAAATGAAGTCACTGAGTAGGAGGTAGAAAGCCATTAAAAAATTCTGTATATGAACATTACATATTAAGAACAGTTTTTAAGTGAAAGCATTATGGAAAAAAACAACAATCTAGACAAATTTTGGGGAATGCATATTTAAACTGATTCCAAGGATAGCTTTCAGTTTATAATTTTTATTTGGTTGACTAATGTTAATGAGTACCTTTGAAACTACCATTGCAAAATTGTAACTGAGACAGTGAAAGAGATCTGACCCAACCAACTCCATCTTTCTTCTAACCCCCAAGCTGTCCTTGTTCATCCCTGGGCATAGTCTGAACTAATTTTGGGAAGAATTTAGTTTATAGTTTAAAACAAAGATAATAACAGGTCTTTCCCAAGGCAAATCCCCTCCTTGCCTGGGGACTAAACTAGCCACAAGATTAGAAATTATGGTTTAGGGGTCATGCAGCTGGAGGCTACAAGATTCTGACCCTCCCTAAACTGCTCCTAAAATCAGTACTTGAGATATTTTGTGCACCCTGCACTTGATGTATCAGCTGGCACCACCCAGACCAATAAATTGGCTCATCTGATCTTGTACCCCACCCCACCCAGGAACTGACCCAGCATAAGACAGCTTTAACTCCCTAGGATTTCATCTCTGACCTGACCAATCAGCACTTCTGGATCACTGGCTTCCCTCCACCTACCAAGTTGTCCTTAAAAACTCTCATCCCCAACCTGTGGACTCTCTAGGTCCCTAGGAAACGATTTCTGCCTTGCCTTACAGGGGTTCTTGGGGCAGGCTGCCTGAGGTACTGGGAAAAGGCCACAGGGAGAAGGAAACCTCTAGCTGAACTTTGTAACAATTCCAATTTAATGAGAAGACTCTTGGCCAGAACTCAGGGGAAGGCATGAATCCAGTGTGCAGACTCCACAGGCAGGGAAGCACAAAAGCCCTTCTTGCTTTCACAGCTGGGAGGTGGGTAGCCAGGGGCAAGTTCTCAGCCTTGCTCACCCACTGCCTGGAAACAGACTCAGTGTCATTGCGGGGGGCAGGATGGAAGTAAGATTGTTCTTTTGGGTTGTGAGGGAGCTGGGTGAGGCCTGTGACTGTCAGCTTTCCCCCACTTCCCTGACAACCTGCATGACACAGTAGAGGCAGTCATAAGCTTTCTAGGAATATAGCTTCATTGACCTGGGAACCACACCCCCATCCTCACAGCACCTGCAGCAAGACCTGCCCAAGGAGAGTCTGAACTCAGACATACCTAGCCCTACTGCAACCTGATAGTCGTTCCTTAACCACCCTGGTAGGTGAAGACAAAGGACATATACTCTTGGGAGTTCTAGGGCCCCACCCACCACCTGATCCTCTCCATACTACCACAGCTGTTGCTCTTTTTAAAGTGCCACCTCGACCATCCTGGCCAACATGGCGAAACCTTGTCTTTACTAAAAATACAAAAAAATTAGTTGGGTGTGGTGGCACATGGCTGTAGTCCCATCTACTCAGGAGGCTGAGGCAGGAGAATTGCTTGAACCAAGGAGGTGGAGATTGCAGTGAGCTGAGATTGCACCACTGTACTACAGCCTGGGCAACAGTGTGAGACTCTGTTTCAAAAATAAATAAATAAATAAATTAATTAATTAATTAATTAATTAAAGTGCCACCTCCTGGCAGGAGATCAACAGCACAAAAACAGTACATTAAACAGCCACAACTAAGGACCCTTACAAAGTCCATTTACTCCCCCTGCCACCTCCACCGGAGTAAGTGCTAGTATCCATGGCTGAGACACCCACTGACAGTTCACATCACAGGACTCTCTGCAGACAACCCCCAGTACCAGCCAGGAGCCTGGTAGATCTGCTACGTGACTAGATCCAGAAAAGAGATAACAATCACTACAGCCCAGATCTCAGGAAGCCACATCCCTAGGAAAAGAGGGAGAGTACTACATCAATGGAACACCCTATGGGACAAAAGACTCAGAACAACAGCTTTGGGCCCTAGACCTTCCTTCTAACAGAGCCTGCCCAAATGAGAAGGAAGTAGGACTCTGGTAATATGACAAAATAAGGTTCATTGACACCCTCAAAAAAAAATCACATGACTGAGAACCTAAAAGCACATGCAATAAAAACAAAGATAAATAGTTGGGACTTAATTAAACTAAAGAGTTATTCACAGCAAAAGGAGCAGTCAGCAAAGTAAACAGACATCCCACAGAGTGGGAGAAAATCTTCACAATATACATATCTGAAAAAGGACTAATATCCAGAATCTACCATAAACTGTAATAAATTATCAAGAAACAAACAAACAAACCCAGCAAAAAGTGGGTTAAGGACATAAATAGACAATTTTTAACAGAAGATATACAAATGGCTAACAAACATATAAAAAATGCTCAACATCACTAATGATCAGGGAAATGCAAATCAAAACCGCAATGTAATATCACCTTACTCCTGCAAGAATGGCCATAATAAAAAAATCAAAAAATAATAGATGTTGGCATGGATGTGGTGAACAGGGGACACTTCTACACTGCTGGTGGGAATGTAAACTAGTACAACCACTACAGAAAACAGTGTGGAGATTCCTTAAAGAAATAAAAATAGAACCTCCATTTGATCCAGCAATCCCACTACTGGGTATCTACCCAGAGGAAAATAAGTCATTATATGAAAAAGATACTTGCACATGCATGTGTATAGCAGCACAATTCACAATGACAAAAATGTGGAACCAGCCCAAATGCCTGCCCATCAATCAACGAGTGGAGAAAGAAACTGTAGTATATATACACAATGGAACACTACTCAGCCATACAAAAGGAAATAATTAATGGCATTTGCAGCAACCTGCATGGGATTGAAAACTATTATTCTGAGTGAAGTAACTCAGGAATGAAAAACAAAATATCATATGTTTTCATTCATAAGTGTAGTTAAGCTATGAGGGTGCAAAGGCATAAGAATGACACAACAGACTTTGGAGACTCAGGAGGAAAGGGTGGGAAGGGGATGAGGTATAAAAGACAGGGTGTCGATCTGTCACCCAGACTGGAGCGCAGTGGTCTATCACGGCTCACTGCAGCCTTGAACTCCCAGGCTCAAGCCATCCTCCTGCCTCAGCCTCCCAAGTAGCAATGCCGAGGCAATTTTTGAAAATGTTGTAGAGATAAGGTCTCATTACATCATCCAGACTGGTCTCAAAATTCTGGATTCAAGCAATCCTCCTGTCTCAGCCTCCCAAAGTACTGGGATTATAGGCATGAAGCACTGCACCCAGCTAGGAGTGCTAATTATTCCTTCTTATTTGCAGAGACTCTTTGAGATTCCATGTTTAATAGAGCTAATAGCACATGTTGATGACTATATGTGAAGGCAAATGTTACATGTTGAGACAAATGGCTTTTTACTTAAGGTTAACTCCATGTAGTAAAGATAGTTTGAGAACAAACAACCTTCTGTCACTTGATCTTCCCTGGCTTAAGTAAGCTTCCAATTAGACTATCACTTAGTGGTGTCTAAGAAGAGAAAAGCTTGCTTAAAACCTAAGGAAACTCTCCTATTTGCATCTTATTTGTAAATATGTTCTATCATATTTACTCTAGACTCATCTATCTTTAATTGAATAGCTAATAGTCTTCTCAAAGATATCAAGCCCAAGCTGACTCCTGATCTTCCCTCCAACCCTGCTCCTCCTGCAATCCTTCCCATCTTGGTAAACAAGAACTGAATTCTGTCAGTTACTCCTTTCGAAAACTAGGAGTCCACTCTTACATATTCTGCCTTATATATTTCTAGTTTGCACTTGTCCACTGCTACCACACTAGTTTAATTCTCCATTATATTTTGAATTGGTTATACAACAGCCACTTATTTGGTCTTGCTTCTTCCATCCCATTTCTTTTTATAGTCTGTTCCCTAAGTGGCCAGAATAATCACGTAATTTCATCCTTCTGTTTAAACTTCTCCAGTAGCTTCACATCTCACTTACAGCAAAAGCTAGAGAATACTCAGTGGCTTAAAAGGCCTGGTACAATCTGGTAACAATTAAAAGGTCTGACAATATTGAGTATTGGGGGGTCGTGGAACACTAAGAGGTTTTGTTTTATTTACATTTTCAGTTAAATTTAATTTTTTAATTTGCTGGTGAGAGTGTAACTGGTATAGTCACTTTGGAGAGCAATCCGTCAATATCTAATGAATCTGAAAATGCCTACTCTGACAATGATTTTGCTTTTATGTTTATACCTAAAAAGTATCTTCTCTGTATAGAAAGTGACAGACAATAATTTTTATAACAGTGTTACTTGTAACAGGAAAAAGCTGGAACAATCCATCTCTATTTACAAGACATGGATAAATAAATCTTGGTATGTTTACATAATTATACACCACTTAGCAATAAAAATCATGGAACTGAAGCTACATTTATCAACACAGAGGGCCACACAGAAGGATTAATCAGTATTAATGCCTTATCTCCCAAACTGAGTAGTGGGTTTAGAGGTGTTCATTATATTAGTCCTTATCACCGTCCTAACTCTGAAATATATGACAATTTTTAAAAGAAGTAAATGGGAAATTTGTAGAATGTGCAAAAAGTGTAGCAGATGTTTTAGTTCATGGTTGTGTTGCTGTAAAGGAGTACCTGAGACTGTGTAATTTATAAAGAAAGATTTAATTGGCTCATGGTTCTTCAGGCCATTCAGTAAGCATGGCACTGGCATCTGCTGGGCTTATAGAGGGGCCTCAGGGAGCTTTACTTATGGCAAAAGGAGAAGCAGGAACAGACACATCACATGGCAAGTGAGGGAGCAAGAGAGAGGAGGGAGGAGATCCCAGACTATTTTAAACAGCTAGCTCTCCTGTGAAATAATTGAGTGAAAACTCATTCATCACCAAGAGGAGAGTGCTAAACCATTAAGGAGGGATCTGTTCCCATGATCCAATCACCTCCAACACTGGGAATCATATTTCAAGATGGACAAATCCAAATCATATCACAGAGAGAGCTTGTTAGGGGAGGGACATGAATGGACACAGAGACTGGCATGTAGAATAGTGTGTTGGGATTGAGGAACTTAATTTTCATCCCTTTCCTCTTCATTCCACTCTGTTTGTTGTGTGTGTGTGGGCAGGGGATGTTCAGGTTTTCATCTTTGCAATAGCCTCCTATTTGTTCTTCCTCCCGAGAGTCTTGTTCCCATCAATACATTTCTTGAATAGTCCTGAGTGGTCTGTGTAAACTCAAATCTGATCATGTCAGTCCCACTGCTTGGCAATCTTAAAAAACTCTTGGCACTGGTACCAAAACAGAGATATAGACCAATGGAACAGAACAGAGCCCTCAGAGGCAACACCACACATATACAACCATCTGATCTTTGACAAACCTGACAAAAACAAGCAATGGGGAAAGGATTCCCTGTTTAATAAATGGTGTTGGGGAAACTGGCTAGCCATGTGCAGAAAGCAGAAACTGGACCCCTCCTGACACCTTACACTAAAATCAACTCCAGATGGATTAAAGACTTAAACATAAGACCTAACACCATAAAAACCGTAGAAGAAAATCTAGGCAAAACCATTCAGGACATAGGCATAGGCAAGGACTTCATGACCAAAACACCAAAAGCATTGACAACAAAAGCCAAAATAGACAAATGGGACCTAATCAGACTCGACAGCTTCTGCACATCAAAAGAAAGTCATTAGAATGAATCAGCAACCAACAGAATGGGAAAAAAATTTTTGCAATCTACCCATCTGACAAAGGGCTAATATCCAGAATCTACAAAGAACTAAAACAAATTTACAAGAAAAAAACAAACAAGCCAATTCAAAAGTGGGCAAAGGATATGAACTGACACTTTTCAAAAGAAGACATACATGAGGCCAACAAACATGAAAAAATGCTCATCATCACTGGTCATTAGAGAAATGCAAATCAAAACTACATTGAGATACCATCTCACGCCAGTTAGAATGGTGATCATTAAAAAATCTGGAGACAACAGATGCTGGAGAGGATGTGGAGAAATAGGAACGCTTTTACACTATTGGTGGGAGTGTAAATTAGTTCAACCATTGTGGAAGACAGTGTGGCGATTCCTCAAGGACCTAGAAATAGAAATTCCATTTGACCCAGCAATCCCATTACTGGGTATATATCTAAAGGATTATAAACAGTTCTACTATAAGGACACATGCACACAAATGTTCATTGCAGCACTGTTTACAAGAGCAAAGACCTGCAACCAACCCAAATGCCCACTGATGATAGACCAGACAGGGAAAATGTGGCACATATATACCATGGAATACTATGCAGCCATAAAAAATGATGAGTTTGTGTCCTTTGTAGGGACGTGGATGAAACTGGAAACAATTATTCTCAGCAAACTGACAAAAGAACAGAAAATCAAACACCACATGTTCTCACTCATAGGTGGGTGTTGAACAGTGAGAGCACATGGACACAGGGAAGGGAGCATCACACACTGGGGTCTGTCACAGGGAAATAGGGGAGGAACAGCAGGGGGTGGGGAGTTGGGGAGAGATAGCATGGGGAGAAATGCCAGATATAGGTGAAGGGGAGGAAGGCAGCAAATCACACTGCCGTGTGTGTACCTATGCAACAATCTTGCATGTTCTTCACGTGTACCACTAAACCTAAAATGCAATAAAAAAAGAAAAAATAACTTCTTCTTTGCTTATACTGAGTACAAATAGATTTCTTAATATGCTATAGAGGGACCCCATTAATGTGACTCGAGCATACTTACCAATATCTGATCCCAAGTATTTCTGTCCACAGCTCTATTCTTGCTCATGCTCCTCCTGATCATGATCATCCTTACACCTGCCGAACACCAACATGAGACATAGATTATGGGACTTCTAGTTTCTCTAGGGGTAGCAAGTCCTTCCTTTCTCTGTATTCCTATAGAATTTTCCACATACATCTTTTATAGCAGCTATACTGTGTAGCATTTTTATTAGGTAATAGTTATATTTCTGTCCTCAATACAATCTACTAAAAGTCACAGATTGTAGTTTTTTGTTGTTGCATTTTGTTTATTTCTTTGTTTTAAAATCTTTACACAGTTCCTGGCAAGATATTTAACACATAGGGGTGCTAAGTAATTGCAGAATTAAGGAAAGAATAAGTAGATGGTCCTTCTTTCTTTCTCCCTCTTTCCTCCCTCCCTCCCTCCCTCCCTCCCTTCCTTCCTTCTTTTTCTTTCTATTGTTGTTATTTTGAGACAGGGTCTCGCTCTGTTGTCCAGGTTGGAATGCAGTGGCAAAATCATGGTACACTGCAGCCTCAACCTCCCCAGACTCAGGTGATCCTCCAGCCTCAGACTCCTGAGTAGTTGAGACTACAGGTACACACCACCATGCCTAACTAATTTTTGTAGGGATGGGGCTTTCTACAGAAAATAGGGAAATGTTGCCCAGGCAGCCTTCAATCTCCTGGGCTCAAGTGATTTGCCCACCTCGACCTCCCAAAGTGCTGAGATTATAGGCATGAGCCACCATGCCCAGCTCAGCCGCCTTCTTCATTTTTAAAAGTATTTTTATTTTTATTTAGATCTTCCTTCAAGAAAGAGAGAATGTACGTCTTATTTAGCAAAATTGTAAGTGATAAGAATAGAATGTCAGGTAAGTTATAAACCCAGTTTCAAGTTCTTAGTTATTCAGTTGCCTTTTCCCATTATTTAAAATGCTATTTAGGCTTATATGTACTTTCAACATTTACTGACTAGTTTCAGAAAAGATAAAAAGATTCATTATTTTGTTCATGTTAGCTAAGAGTAGTCAAGAGTTGAACTGGTTCCCTTGCTAGGGTAATTCAAAACTGCTACACTCATGAGATACCAGCATATTTAAATTCATTTTTGAAAGTCTGAATTAATAGAACATTAGCTTTTTTTTTTTTTTTTCCTGAGAGGATATATAAGAAGTTGTGGCTGTCTCCCTTACTCTCTGGATTTGAACTGGTGATACCTGGAAACAAATGATATCATTACAGGGCTATACTACAATGAATGGGGAGTATACTGGGATGATAACACCTGTGCAGGAAAGTCTGCTTTCCTTAGTTTTTAAATTTTTGCACATCAACTTATTTCACAATTTGGAGAAAACAAATTACTGCTTCTCCATTGGCTTCCAGGACAATTGAATGTGGTAATTTGTATTTTTGAAAATATGTCAGTTTGGACATATACTTCAAACTGAACAAACTCCACATTTTAAAAATCACTAGCTATTATTCAAGCTCCAACTTCCAAATAGCTTGAATATTAAGAACCGGTTTTAAAAAACCAAATCCACAAAGTACTCCAGGAATTGTAAATCATTCCTCAATTGTCAACCACCAAGACACTTCAATTTAGAAAAGAATCAAGCGACTTTCCAGTTATTCAAGTCTAAATATCTTAACCCACTTTCAGATGGAGGACAAAACATTCTAAAGAAATGAAAAATGTAACAACACTCACTCTTTTTTTTCCTTTGGAAAGCTTTTTATACATTCTTTATGAGACAGATATTATAAAACTGAGTTACTAGTTATTACTGATAGAGGTGAGAGGGAAACTGATGATCTCAACAGAGCTGAAGGAAAGTTGTCTAAGTAATCAAAATTCCAGACTTCCATTTAGACTCCTGAATAGTTTCCCCAAATTTTTTTAAGGTGGTTAAGTCCATCTTCTGCATTATTTCTCAAATGCATTATGATATTGTTACCATGTGTGTTTTCATTTTTGTTACTGGTTTTATAATTTACCCTAATTGAATGAAAAATGAGGGCATGAAGTAAAGCATGGGAGTTCTATTCTTTTTCTCCTTTAACCCCACACATTAAGTAAAGACTTGCCTCATACTGATTTTTGTAGCATTTTGTAGGAGGCCCCTATCCAGCAATCGTTTTTTGTGACTTCCAGACAACTGCCAGCCATATTCTTGCTTGGGAGAAATGGAGGACTTTAGAAAATTGCAAATCAAGACATCAAGCTATATAATCTTTTAGTTCTGTGTGATGAAGTCCCAGTCCAAAGCAAAATTTCACCGTCAGTATTCATGACACATCTAGCATATTTTGATTATTTAAAAAATATTTTCCTTTATCTTTTTCAAATATATCATTTGAATTAGAGGGCAGTTATTTGGTATTGCTATAATTACCAGCTTTACAAATAACCAGTTTCAACTCATTGTGGGAAGTAAGGAATATTAAATTTGTATTGTAACTTGTGATACATTTCAATATTCCTATTTGACAGATTAACTTATAATGTTAGGACTTTAATGATTTCAAACTTATAGTAGTTGCTTTTAGACAAACGATATTGAGGAATTGGGAAGGAGAAGAGAAATACCAATTCTTTCTTGTAAACACATTTGTACGATTTGAGTTTCTGGCCATACAGATGCAACTCTCATCAACATTTGTTGTTTTGTTAAAAATTTTATTTCAAATCATATTAGAGATACTAATTGCAGAACATTTGCTCTCCCAACAAAGGCAAAAAGAATTAAATGGCTTATGTAAACGTTCCAGATGTGTTAGATATGGCAGAGTTGGGAAGAGAATAAAAAAACAATATTCCAGTATTTTCCTATACATGGCTTTCTCTACCATATCACATTTAGATCTGTTTACAAATAAATTTTTATTTCCAATACCTATCTCAGGGTTTTCTTTGTGTTTTATTCCTAGATAGCTAACCAGTGTTTATTTTATTTGAAGCACATTTTAACGACTCTTGATTACATTTTTTCCAAAAATGATTTTCTCTACTGACAACTGAAACTCAAGTGATAATTAAACAAAGGAGACTTTAAGAGTTCTTCCAGAACCAGGGTCATTGGTGACATTTCCATAAATCACACACAAACTCAACAGAGGCCAATTTACAGAGACGTCTCACTCTAATAAGCATACTATACAGAGGTTAAAATAGCCCTGTTGTATTTATCTTTCACTATGCAGCTTACCAAAACCAAATTTCTGTCATCAACAATTATTAATCATCCATATCCCACAGAGAATTTTAATAAAGCATATTATGAACCTGGGGGTGGTGGTGGTGGTATGAGAAAGACACAAATGTGATCCAAATTTATAAAAGGAGTTGGGGGTCCCTATTACTCCACCACATCTGTTTGCCACATGTGCATAAATCACATCAATGTTTTGAACATTTCTCCTAACACCTTCCTGTCACTTCAGTTTTATAGTTCATAATTCTACCCCTCATCCTCACAAAAAGAAAAGAAGAGAAAAGTTTCTCATTATTATATTTCAGGCTTGACAGTGACATTTGACCAAGTATTAAGTCAACCAATTACATGTAAGGGCTGGTGCCAGGGGACTCTCCAATTTCTTGAGATTTGGTCACAGCAAGCAAAAGTGGTAGTGAAACTCCTCGTTTATTCTAAAGGAACAGTGTAATAATGTGAAGACACCAATGACCACCACTGCCAGATGAAAAGAAAGCTGCATTTTGAGTCTGAATCCATGAAAAAGAATTGCCAGAAAGAAAGGTGCTAACTTAGAAAAAGATGTTTTTCCTTGCAAATGGAATCCTCAGATGCACCATGCACACTACTCTGTTTATTTTCATTTTCCAGTGATGCTAATGCATGTCTACATATAGTGCAATGCCTGTTCTCCAGGAATTTGCTATCTGAGACAACCGTGACATGTAAAGACAGAGCAACAAGATCTAAAGCTGCATTTTTTGGACAGTTTATATGATCCACTGGTTTATTTAATGGAAATAAAATAAGCAAACTGAGCATACAAAGAAACTCAAATTAGCCAGGTGGTATCATATAGATAAAACTGAAATTTCTGATGAAAATGGTTGGTTAACATACCCAACCACTTGCTCCAAACGCACTGTACTGCTGAATAGATTTAACAACCTTGAAAACCGGCATATACATATCTCAATTTAAAAACAAAAAAGGAAAACTACGTGGTACCAGAAATGAAGAGAGTCAATCTGAAACTTGAGGAGTGAATGGGAGCTAATGCCATATGGCCTATAATGTTACTGAACCTGGACATTCTCCTAAGTTACTGAGGTTTTAACCTAAGAGTAGAGAGTTGAGAGGTAAGGCAGAAGTTGAGTTTGCAGGCGTGGTGGCATGGGAAGTTACAGTTGCAATCCCAGCTAAAAATTGATACCCTAGAAAAAGACTATAAATTTCTTCCCATTGAAATGGAGATTTGGGGAGAAAGATGGGCTGACTGTCCTAAGTCATGGTTGAAAACTAATATTCTCGGAAAAATCTAAACCAATACTCTGTGAATATTGGGTTGAATTCACATATCAAGCTTGATTTAAAAAAATCTGAAGTCAAGAAATTATTGTAGAAACTAGTTGAGAGACTATTGGGCTTGGCAGAGGTAGACAAAAACCACCAAAGTGATAACTTCACAATCCTGAACTATGACACATCCTTGGAAGGCAATTTCCTCTGAAGATAGGTCCAAAGTCTAAAATTTGAAATACTCAAGAAAACAGATCTTGTTAGAGCCAAGAGTCTCTTTTTAAATCATATATATATTAATAATAATATATATATTAATAAATGGAGTGGGATCTCACTATGTTGCCCAGGCTGGTCCCAAACTCCTGGGTTCAAGTGATCCTTTCACCTCAACCTCCCAAAGTGCTGGGATTACAGGCAAGAGCCACTCTACCTGGCCAGAGCCAGGAGTCTCAACAAATGAGAATTCATATGCTAAAGCCAATAGATTACAGGACAACGTGAAAACAAATTTACTTTAAATGTTCAAAGATATAAAGAAGGAAGAAATAAAAATCATAAGGATAACATTC